TCCAAACTGTCAACAAGAAAATATCAACACGATTACTAGGTAAATTTCGAAATACAAACTATCTTCTTAATATGTCTAAATTCTGTCATACTAACAACTATGTTTAATTGCATGTACAAAATATTTATAACTTGTCAGGATCCAACAACAACTCAAAATTTCACTATATTTGACAAGCAAGCTAAAAATATTATAGGAATTGTTGTATCAGAATTAAAACAAATACTCTCAAAGGTATGCCTAGTAAAATTCTTTGTTCAAAGAATAACAACATTTTTACATCAACAACATAATTATAATAATATCTTCATAACATATTACCAAATATTTATTACAGGAGGATGAATATGATGAACTACCATGTTTAATACTGTCTTGTTTATGAAAGTACCACATCTTATTAACTGAACCTCTTCGACAGACCATGCTTATAATTATCTCAATATTTGATGTAAATTGGGCTCAAGAATCAAGGCTACTTATTGAAATTGCAACTAGCTAATATGAAAACAGTAACGATAATATCATTGTAGTTAATACAAAAAATAGAGAAAAAGATACCACTATTGCAAATACGAGAAAACAATGAAGCTACAAAAGGTAAGAACTCTAAACACAGATACATTTTTAGCATCATATATATTCAATAACTTCATAATCTAATATATTACCTAAACTAATTTAATAATAATTTTAAATTTCATCTTACTCAGGTACACAACCAATCAAAGATGAAGGAAAAAGCAACAAAGGGAAATAAGTAATCGAATAATCAATAGATCCACAAACTCAGCAAACAAAATTCAAACCACTCTTATGTACTAAATTAAAATCTCTCTTTCTCCCTCTATCTCTCTCTCGACCTACTTGTAATGTTATATATGATTACATCAACCAAATACAATTAATATCTCCCAAAATCTCTTACATTAAATTTAATTGCTCAATTAATTATGAATGTATGAATTAACACTAAGCAAAACCAAACAAAACACTTTCAACAAAAAAAAATACAAATATACAAGCCCATGCTCAGCACGGGTAACTCTACTATTATATACTAAAGTGGGATGAGTATTCATTTTGGCCGACGTGGCCTGCTTTGCATGCAGGAACTGGTATCTGTACGTGAACTTTTATAGATCATGTGAATAGATCAGGAATGGAGGTTCGGGGTTGTTATTCACATGCTTATACTTTGTCATCTTTAATTTATTGCCTCAATCACGTATGAGCATGGGGTTATTTTTTGTTTCTTACCAAACTCCAACATTTCTTCTAAGCACTTTACGACAAGGGTCATGCCCTGATCAATATTCGACTCCTCATAAGACCTATGCAATTGTCCAAGTAACAGTCATCACCATAAGCGTCATGGTGTGGATGATTAATAAGGGAGTTTTCAGCAGAAGGAACCATTGTCATATTGGACAACCTAGAACTCAAAATTGTCGGCTTTGATTCCTCCCTTGTATTTTGTATTCAATCCCACCGATGGTTATGTTGGGGAAGGGTTCTTCAAATGGGGAGAAGGAATCCCTTGTTGTTTCCATGGTGATCATCATTATGTCTTAAACTGGGAACAAGGAGAATGGCGGAGGAGGTATCCATGGACGAAATATACATGGGATTATTGTTTCATCTCATCTTACATTTACGATCTCAACATACAAACAGAGATGGAGGGAAGGGATGATAGAGAGACGATGGTTAGTCGGTTATGTTCATTTTAATAATAATAAAAAGAAAGTTCAATAGTACTCCTACTTGTAGGTCTCCCCTTTCGCCAAATGGCACTATTTCCCTATATATATTGAAACATAAGGTTTGACTGTCCGATTTTTGGGTTGATGGTTCGAATGGACGACCCATTCCGACAACAAAAATTGCAAGCAAAAAATTACAGAACCATTTTGGCCATCGGTTTTTGGGTTAACGGTTCGATTGTTTGGTTCAAACGGACGGCCCGTTTTGACAACAAAAATTATAGGCAAAAAAATTAAGTGTGTGAGGTCCATTTAGCAGTATCATACGTGTTATGTCATTTGAGCATGTGATTTATACGACCCGAAAATGGAACCGTTCTGGCCACCGGTTTTCTGGCCGACGGTTTGGCCCGTTATGACAACAAAAATTACAAGCAAAAAATTGTGAAACCATTCTGGCCACCGATTTTTGGGTTGACAATTCGACCGTCCGGTTTGAACGGATGGCCCCTTCTGACAACAAAAATTACAAACAAAAAATTGAGTGTGTGAGGTCCATTAAGGAGTATCATACATGTTATGTCATTTGAGTGTGTGACTCATATGACTCGAAAATGAAACCATTCTGGCCACCGGTTTTTGGGTTGACGGTTTGACTGTTTGATTCGAACGGACGACCCATTATGACAACAAAAAGTAAAAAATAAAAAAATGGCAAAACACCATTAAACAGGTCAACAAGTTAACGGTTTGACCGCTTGGGTCAATGGGTTGTTGACTGATTCAATAGTTTTTGGCCAGGGATCGAGATTGGGGTAAAACGGAACCGGTTGCCTTGATGATTCCCAATTAAAAAAATAAAAAAACAGATGGCCCGTTTTGACAACAAAAATTACAGGCAAAATTTGAGCGTGTGAAGTCCATTAAGTAGTATCATATGGGTTATGTCATCGAGCGTGTGACTATATGACCCCAAAACGGAACTGTTCTGGCCACCAGTTTTCGGGTCAACAGTTCTACTGTCTAGTTCAAATGGACGGCCCGTCCTGACAACAAAAATTAAAAAAATAAAAAATGACCAAAAACCATTGAATGGGTCAATGGGTTGACGGTTCAACCACCCGGGTCAATGGGTCATTGATTGATTCAACGGTTTTTGGCAAGGCATTGGGATTGGGATAAAACAGAACCGGTTGCTTGGACGGTTCTTAATTAAAAAATGGCTAAAAACCATTAAACGGGTCAATGGGTTGACGGTTCGACTGCCCAAGTCAATGGATCGTTGATCGATTCAACGGTTTTTGGCCAGGGACCAGGATTGGGGTAAAATGGAACTAGTTGCCGAGACGGTTCCCAAGCCGAAATGTCCATCCGTCTGGGTCAATAGCGGGTTGAAAACCATGGTTTTTATGCTTTTGGATTTTCACTATTCAAAGGTTTTTTCTACTGTGGGCTTTATTCGAGCGTGTGTGATATGTTCCTTTTTCTTCGTTTTTTGCTTTTGGTTTTTTTTTTCGTGTGTGTTTGGTCATCTTCTTCAAGATCTTCCAAAATGGTCTAGGGTTTACCACCATTTTATTTCTTCCCTTTTGTTTTTTCTTTGGGTTTTCTTGTGCAATATATTTTTTTAATTTTCTTACAAGGTGATTTGTTTTGTCTCTTTCTTTGATTGCATGTATGTTTAGCTCCATCTCAAAGCAGAACTTTGGACTCGATTTTTTGATTTTTTTCCTTGGTTTTTCTAGTTTGGTGGATTTACTACCTTTTTTTTTGTGTTTAAGGTCACTTTGGATTTATCTTTCAAGATTTTGGAATCCTTTGCAATGTCCACCCTTCCCATGACTATGACTATAAAGTTATTTCGTCTAATTATTGACATTTAGAAAAATGACCCGAAAACGGAACCAATATGGCCACCGATTTCCAGGTTGATGGTTCGACCGTTTGGTTCAAACAGATGGTCCATTCTAACAACAAAATTTAAAAAAATAAATAAAAATAAAATGGCCAAAAACCGTTGAACGAGTAGATGGGTCAACGGTTAGATTGTCCGGGTCAACGGGTCATTGACTAATTCAACGATTTTTGGCCAGGGACCGGGTTTGGGGTAAAACGGAACCGGTTGCTCGGACGGTTCCTAGGCCGAATGGTCCTACCGTTTGGGTCAATTGGAAGTTTTCAATGTGAAACAAATGACAATTATTATAAGTATTCAAGTTTTGAAATTTGTATAAAGACTTAAAAGAGATCATCATGTAATCGTTTTTTTTTAAATATTACTTCAGCAAAGCCTCTCATATAAAAGAACACGCTCATACAGTGATAGTTATCTCTAATGAACCTATCAACATGACCTTTGCTAGTAGCAGATCCAATCTCAAATGAACCTATCAAACAAGGCTGGATTATTCTGAAAGAAAAAACTTTATGAACAATCTAAGAGCAAAACATCTACATATACAGAAAGAATACAAATATGTAAAACCTTGTATTTTGTATTATTTTATACGTATTTATACAATAGTACTCTTTCCAAACTAAGCCTTAGCAAATCCAGCCAGATATAAAAAAGGAGAGCCCTAATTGTAACATTACCTCACTGACTTTCTCGCACATTACCCCACTGAGTTTCTTGTTTTGTCTTTTTAATTAAGATAAGATAAGAAGATAACATTAATTGTAATAATTCTTTTACCCCACATTCATCCCAGTGTCATTCACATGAATTCTTGAAGCACAGACTGTTGTTTTGCAAACAGTCAATAAAGTTGTCCATGTTACAAACTTACAAGTCACCTAAGAACCCGTTTGGAAGGACTTCTGTATAGAGGCGAGATGGGGTGATTCAGCCATGGTGGTGTTGCAAAAGCCGAGCTTGGAACGCCACAAGTCATGTTCAAAAACCCTCCCAAACGGGTACTAAGATGACGTTGACTCACACAACTTATTCAATTTCCTTTTTATCAGGAAACTGAATCCATTCAGTTGGGATACTGTTTTGGGTGGTGCCGCGGTCACCGGCTCAAACTGAGATCCTCAGGTTATACCAGGAAGTCCGAATTTCCGATAATCTCCCTATTTATTTCTGTAATTCTTAAAATAAACCAGTTTTGAGGTGGACATTTCTTCGACTTTCTGTGGCGTTTAGTTTGTATTTCCCTTCTTTTAAATATACTGGAATCTTCGGTTTGCATCACGCGATGATTTGCCACGTGTAAAAAGCTTAGCCCTCCTTCGGTTAGCTATAAATCAATAGCAGAGCCTTTTTCTTTTGTTCTCCCGCTTTTTCAAGGAAAAGAGCAGTGAGGCATTGGTTATCCTCTCTCTCCCTCTCTCCATCACTCTCGTCATCGTCTCTCTCTCTCGACGACACACATACACTCACACTCGAGCGATAGCAGGAGAGCTGAGAACTTCTTTATAGACGAACGACAAGCATGGCTTCTCTTCCTGTAATCTGAATGGTAAAGTCGGTTCTCAAATGATCGTCTAACTTCACTTTTGTCCTAAAAGAGTTGGCGTCATAATTGCCAAAGCAATGGCAATTGGTGCTGTGATTTCGAGCCGCAACTTTGGTTCTTTTACTGGTTCAGGTAGGATAATCCTTCGGTGCTGTTGGAATAGTTTTTCATTCTTCGTTTTATTCGGAATTGCTTGAGCTGGAATTGTTGCTGCATTTTTATTTTGTGTTTTTCTTTATCTGTTTACTGCTTTCGCTGGACGATTTGCACTTTCGTCTTCTTGACTATTTTAAATATTTACTGGTGCTATTTTATTTATTTATTTTTTTGGGACGTTGGGTTGAACTGAAGATCTGAGGATGTATGCTGTTTTTTAGCTAATTTTGAGCTGAAATTTAGTTGAACGTATTTAGTTTCTAGATATTATGTCTTTAATATACGTCTATCAGTCGAACGAAAATAAAGAGCTGCATGCAGCAGAACATCAGCTTCAATTTGCGGAAGATGTATCAAGCTCTCAGCTGATTTCTAGAATCATCACTTTTTTCAACAAAGTTTATCGATGAGGGAACTGTATGCACCCAAACACTCATCACTGACTCTGTTCTCCCATAAGTGGATAAACGTAATGCTTACTCATGGCATTACCTTGGCACCTCTGATCATTATTTTTTAGAAGATTTTATTAGGCGTTGTAGAAGGTTAATTTGCTAGATGCCCCATTGGGTTGTGGTTCTGACCGTTTTCAGGTCTGGAGTTGTTCGTGTAGTACATAAAGAACTTCCCCATGTTTGCTAAAATATTTATTGCCCCAATACTGGGTTCGTGGGAAAGCATTTAGTACGTGGTAATGGCTGTCAGAGAGAGAAAAAAAGAGAACAGTGAGAGGGGCAGGGGGCATAAAAGGTGGTGGCAGTAACCTGCAACTTTCTGTGGAATTGGCTAATATGGCTCAGTGGAGTTTGTGCTCTGGTCTTTCTTTCAGTGGAGGGTTTTCTATTCTGCTGAAAAGGTGTCTGTTATTTCTCCAAGATTAAACCACGCCTAAGTTGTTTAATTTTCTCCCCCTCCCCGTCCTTTTTCCTTTCAAAGGATTTTTTTTTTTTTGATTCTTTCTCCAAAGTGTTCCCTTACCTGATGTTTATATGTCATTTATGTTATTGAAATCCTCTGAAAGGGATCATAACCATGTAAGCTGCATGTTTACTATTTGCGAACTGACTCATATCATTTTAGTGTTTGCAGATTTAGGGATGTAGGGGGATTTTCAAATTTGATGTACCATATCATTTTTTTATGGTTCTGTTTGTAAGAATGAAGACTTTGGTTTCACTTGTCTGCACAGGGAGTATTCTTTCAAGTGCATGAACAGAAGAATATTGAAATATTCTTATTCAACAGTATATATTCTTTATGTGACTCATCATGTTTTCATGGGCGTATCCATATAATTTTATGTATTCGTTCTACCAATAAAGATAATTGCAGTATTCAACTATTACACTTTTTAATATGAAATTATGAATAATTGCACAGAACCATCCAAAGTTGGTGCTTTTTCTTGAAAGAAGAAAGACCCCCCCTTCCTGCCAGCTGTGTTTCTTTTTTATTCACGAGACAAATCCCTTCTAGTAACTGGTAATCCACTAATTCTTGCAGGAAAAGTATGTCAAACAGAGAAGGCTGATAGACATCAGAGAGGAGAACTAGGTGTTTGTAGTTTGACATATGCACGGGGAACTATTTTTAAAACGAGGCCCCCTATTTCAAGGGAATTCTGTTCATATAAGTTTAAACATTCTTGTTATCCGGTGGGAGTCCTTGGTGGAGTGAAGCATCATCCTCTTTCAAACCATCTACAGTGCAGTGAAAATTTTCATATCATTAATCTTAAGAGGAGAATTCAGCGAAGATGTGACTGTTTACTGTTTTCAGATTCTTCTCATAGAAGTTGGTCTAAACCATTAAAGCTGGATAAGCTTGGTATATCTGATGGGCAATTCCAGAAGTGCGAGTATCGTCAAGCAACGACTACACGTGCTGATTATAAACCAGAACACTTTGACATAACTGAACCATTAGACCCACGTAATACTTCAGAGGCATCCGCTGAAGTTGTTTTAGTTGAAGGGAATGTTCAGAAGATAACTTCTTGGTGGAAGCAGTTTCCAAAACGTTGGGTGATTGTATTACTTTGTTTTTCAGCATTTCTCCTTTGCAACATGGATCGTGTAAGCTATTGCCTGTTTCTGTGTCTTATTTGACTTTGTAGATACCAGTGATATTTGGATCTTTCAAAGTTTTGTGTACTCCTAAGTTCCTATTCTAGATAGCTTTGCTGGTAGCGTGTCTCAATTACTGGAGTTGCTTTCTTTCCAGTTGATAGATATTTCTCCATGTTATACCAAGGAATTAAAAATAACGATTTCCTGTTTCATCATATTACAACTGATCCAAATGGTTGATTACAGGTGAACATGAGCATTGCCATACTTCCAATGTCACAGGAGTTCAACTGGAATTCTGCCACTGTTGGTCTAATCCAGTCTTCTTTTTTCTGGGGCTACCTACTCACTCAGGTATAGCTTGAAAGTTGGTTTATAAAATGTATATGACTGGTACAGTGCAGTATAGTTTGAGTAGCGAAACAAAGTAACCCATTAAGCACCAGATATCTGATTATGGTCATATAACTGTTTAAGCCCAATCATAATTAAGTATTTGTTGTTATCACATGGTCTGCCATGTGAATAGATGAAATTTATAGCTTCAAAGAGTCATGGAACTAATTCTATCCATCATCATGTTGAGCAGCAAGGATATCTAAAAAATTGCGAATGGACTCATGAATTATGATAGATTTCTTAGGAAATTAAGCATTTCTTTTTATTATACCTCCCTGTGCAACTAATTGGACTTGATACTGAATAGATAGCTGGAAATAGGAGCTTACAGGATCTGGTTTCTAGCTGGGCAGTGGACACTAATGTATGTACATGAATTGTACCCAGTTATTGAAATCATATCCAATCTTTTGAACCCAGATTCCTACTAATTAGGGTTCGGCACCTCAGTGTTATCTGGCACCTATTGACATCTCTAGGAATAAAGTAGATAAAGTTGAATGGTAATGACTGCACCAAGCATTAATGTGCTTTAGTCCACCACATTAGACTGAGAACACTTTTTTTTTGAACATTCCTCTTTCCACTAATCTTGAATATGCCAACAGCTTGAGGATTTTTCTTTATGCATTTCTTCCACAAAAGTGAGTGTCTCTCACAATGGGAAGGCATTCCATACATGCTTATTTTGTTTTTATTGGTGACAAAATGATGGAACTTTCTTTTTAGCTAGATGTCTGTTTTGACTAAAATTTTAGGACATTACAAGTACCATTAGCCTTGACCTGCTAACAAACTTGTTATGCTTATGCCAGTTATATGAATTCATTGTCCCCTTTTTGTTTTAGTCTATCAACAATTCCAAATCTCTATGATGTGAAATGTCTAATTTTGTATGTTATCTTTCTGACTTCCTTATACTTTCATTGTAGATTATTGGTGGTATATGGGCAGATAAAATTGGTGGCAAGCTGGTATTGGGTTTTGGGGTGGTCTGGTGGTCAGTAGCAACTGTTCTAACACCTCTAGCTGCAAAAGTTGGGCTCCCTTTCTTACTTATAATGCGTGCTTTTATGGGGATTGGTGAGGTTGGCTTCTTCCAATGTTCCCTTTTTGCTTCTTAAAATCTTCTTTAGGTTTCCATGGAAACTATTTGCTTTTTTATTTTTGTGTTTTTGATTTTATAGAATAATATATCAATTGGCAATCCTACTATTAGGGCTTACTGTTGCAAGAATATCCAATCCCATACTGTGGCTTCATTCATAATCTTAGCCTACTATTCCTTTTCAATATTATTGTAGGTCCTCTTCTAAAGTTAAAAGTGCTATTTTATAGATAAATAACTTGTATAATCTAATAAATCTTGAGGAACCAATTTGCTTCAATGGGTTATAACTAATACTACCTAAAATCTACTAACTAATATTTTTAAAGGAATCTTCTGCTTATTATTAGATATTTGTGTGTAAGAGAATACATAATATAGTGTATATATGAATGAGTACATAGGACATTATTAAATAACAGTATTTAAACAACTATAATGCATTAAGGAATTCTGTGGGAAGACTATTTTTTAAGGCCCCATACTTTACTCTTTGGGAAGACCATATTGGTTGCTTATTATATACACAATACTTTTAGTCTTTGTTCTTGCTCATTATAGAAGAACGAAAGAAATTGAATAGACAGAGCTGATTCTCCTTTACTTGTTCCTGGTTTGAGAAAAAATCAGAAAAAAGGAAAGGGAAGTGTCTAACTGCATCTTCTACTATTCCTTCATATCCTTCACCTGTCAATCAAGTTGGTTCCATCTATTTGTAGTTTCCTTAATCTTTGAACAATCCAAAAACATACTTTATTTATTTCTACTTCCTTGTATCTTTCACTTTAATCTAGAGAATAGTGTTTTTTGAAAGCAAAGGGTGGTTTTTCCTTTTCTCATTATTTTTCTTGATTTTCAGGACTTATTAAGGAAGCACAACTAAACTTTTTATGATCGGCCTAATGCATATACAACTACAAATTGTTTGAGTTAAATGAGATGTATACCTACAAAAGTTAAAGGAAAAATGTAATGTATGCATAAAAGTTATAGAACATTTTCTATAGTAGTTGCTGGTAACTAATAATCTTGAATAACTAATAAAGTCTCTTTCCAGATACCGCTTATGTTAATTTTCTGACTTAATAACTCCTAAAATATTATTTTTTTGGGTTGATTACTCAGTTTGTTGGTCTGATGAGATACCTAGCTGCCATATTTTGTCAATTATGCAGTTAGTTGCATCTAAATTTCATGCTGCAATAAAAAGTTTTGTTTCTGAAAGAATTGTTTTGTCTTCAGGGCGTTGCTATGCCAGCAATGAATAACATACTTTCAAAGTGGGTTCCTGTATCTGAGAGAAGTAGATCCCTTGCACTAGTATACAGTGGCATGTACCTTGGCTCTGTCATAGGCCTTGCCTTTTCTCCTGTTCTAATCCACAATTTTGGATGGCCTTCTGTGTTTTACTCTTTTGGCTCCCTTGGAAGTATTTGGTTTGCACTATGGCTGAGTAAGGTAAGTATCTTATCCTTTTAGCTATGTTCAAACCATAGTAAAAAATTTTAATTTATATTTCTCTGCCTCTCATTGCCTGTGAGAACAGAAACTTACAATTATAGGCTACAACTGTATGGTCGTTTCAGACTGTAAGTCAATTGCTAGGGCAGATATGCAGTTGCATTTGATACTGTCATCTTCTATTCTTGATGGTCAAAGCTTGAGCTGAAAGACCATTTACATACACGGTCTCGTGACTACAGAAATGCTTGAAGTGTAATTGCAATTGTCATAGTCAATTTACTTTCATGGAACATTTTTTGCCTATAAAAAAAATGCTGGTTTCAAATAATTGACATTTATGACAATTTAATGGTTTGTATTTTTTTTTACTATAGATAAAATCTAGAATAAAATTTTCTGGCTGAAGGTATCAGCAAGTATTGCAGTTAATTTCTGGATTGTTGTGTTTATGCTTGTTTTTATCTATATTCTGTTGTTTTAGAAAGGCCTCTTCATTATGTTATTCTTAAATACTCAATTACATTACATGATTTTGTTTATTAACGAAGGCATTCAGTGGAACTTTTTTCCCTCTTTTTCTTGGGCTTCTTGCTAGGCACACAGCTCACCACAGGAAGATCCAGAGCTTCATATAGAGGAAAAGAAGCTTATCCTGGGGGAAAGTCAATCAAAAGAACCTGTTTCAGTCATTCCATGGAAATTGATTTTGTCAAAGGCACCTGTCTGGGCTTTGATAATCTCTCACTTTTGTCACAACTGGGGAACATTTATTCTTCTTACATGGATGCCTACTTACTACAATCAGGTATTTGATGTTGTATAGAAAAAAAGATATACTAAATTTTCTATACATATGCATTTACACACACACACATTCTGTTCTTTTAGCAAAGAAGACTGAACTACCCAGGAATCTTACATGTGGCAGGATATTTTCCCCAATTCCTCGACTTCTTATGGTCATCTGGAAATACTAATATCACTTGAGGAAATACTAACAAAAGTTAGGCTGGCATGGATGGGGGATTGAACATGTGGCTGATCCAGAGGGTCCTGATGGATATATGTTTGGATCAGTCATATAAAAGATATTCCCATTTATTATGTACTTGTATAACATGATAGGAAACAGGACTTGCATCAAATGGTACATAATTCTGGTGACTTAAAACAAGTGAAAATCATTTTTATTGTGGGATATAGATATTAATCTGATAGAGTGCCTTGTATGTGATCAACTTACCAGTTAAAACTACAATAGTTGGCTACAAGATGACTATCCAAACTTCTTTTCTCTCCACTTACTAAAAATTGCTTCAAGATGACCTAAACCTAAAATCATTTTGTTCAAATTATATATTGCTCGTAATTGTTTCAACTAAACATATTAAAACCTTATTAACTTCAAATACATCTGTCCTGTTATATTAAGCTTGCAACCATGATTTGTGCTTGCATGATATGGTTGCTATATATCAAGTGTCTAGGACTTGGGCCCAATTTTTTGTTCTACAAAGTATATTTTCTAAAAAGTTGAAGGAGCTGTGAATTAAAAGATTTCATGACAGTGGACAATAGGTCTCTTGGATAGTTTTTACAAAATTTTGGCTGAAAGGATGAAAGGGGTGCTAAACAGTGTGATTTCCAGTAATCAATGTGCTTTTGTCCTGGGGAGGCAAATGCTCCACTCTGTTCTCATTGCTAATGAGTTGATTGATTCTAGGAGAGAGGGGACCCCAGGTCTGGTGTGTAAACTGGATATAGAAAAAGCTTATGACCATGTAAATTGGAGATGCATGGATTTTGTGTTGGAAAGAGTGGACTTTGGACAAAAATGGAGGAATTGGATGCAAGGTTCAAGGTATCGATACACCCCTGTGTATCGGCAGAGGCGTATCGGTACATAGAAACACACACTTATATATATATGTTTTAATTTTTTTTTTCAAAATTTGTTTTTTGGGGACTTATTTATGCATATCTTTTATCAAAAAAGAGAGGGATCCCGAAACGCCTGTAAACAGGTGTATTGGAACCCCAAAGATACGATACGATAACGGGGTGTATCGTATCGAAATTTTGAACCTTGATCGGATGAAAGTATGTATCTCTTTGACTCTTCCCCTAAGTTTTCTGTTTTGATAAATGGGCAATCTACAGGTTTCTTTGAGAGTTCTAGAGGGCTGAGGTAAGGTAATCCTCTCTCTCCCTTGCTTTTTATATGTATCATAGAAATCCTCTCCCTTTTTAGCTTGAGGGCTGTTGAATATGGATTGTGGGAAGGTTTTGCAATCTCTCTAGGGGAGGAGAAGGTTAACATTTTGCAATTTGCAGATGATACTCTTTGTTTTATAGATGCATCCCTTGAGCAGTTGGAGACTCTACTTGGGATTCTCAGCTGGTTTGAAGTTGTTACTGGGCTGAAAGTCAACCTAAGTAAAAGTCTGATCATTCCAATCGGCCAAGTGCCTAATCTGGAGGAGTGTGCCAAAGTGATGGCTTGTTAGGTGGACTCTCTTCCTGTAAGGTATCTGGGTCTACCCCTTGGTGCAAAATGCTCTTCATTAGCCATTTGGGATCTAGTAGTTGAAAGAATGGAGAAAAAGCTCTCCTCTTGGAAGGCTAAATATCTTTCTTTTGGGGGAGGAGTAACACTTTTAAAAAGCACTCTTTCTAACCTTCCCACCTACTTCCTATCCCTCTTCCTTATCCCAACTAAGGTGGCAAAGAGGTTGGAAAATCTGTAAAAGAAGTTCCTCTGGAAAGGATAGGAAGAAGAAAAGAAAGTTCACCTTATCAATTGGGATCAAGTGTGCCTCCCTGTGGAGGAAGGTGGATTGGGTTTAAGGAAAATTAAGGTCTTTAATTTGGCTCTCCTTAGTAAATGGATTTGGAGATTTGCCTCAGAAAGAAGAGTGGTGGAGAAATCTTATAGCTGCCAAATATGGGGTGGATTGGGGCAACTCGAGATCTCAGGACCCCCTCCCAAATTGGGGCTGTTCCATTTGGAAAGGCATTATGAAAATAATTCTCATTTTTGGGGAAGGTTTAAGCTTCAAAGTAGGAAGAGGTGACAAAATCAGTTTTTGGAAGGACCCTTGGTGCTTGGAGAATCCTCTGTCTGAGAGTTTTCCTCTTTTGTTTCAGTGTGCTGCTAACCAAGATGCCTCGGTAGCTGAGTCCTATTCCATCTCGGATGATGTTGTGACCTGGGTTCCCCAGTTCAGAAGAAGCCTGTTTGACTGGGAATTTGTAGAGATCTTGGGTCTGCTGGAAACTCTCCAAGATCAGAAAATTGACATCAATCTGGTAGATGAGTGGAGATGGAAGTGGAGTGGTGATGGTTGCTTCTCAGTCAAATCAATGGCCCTCAAGCTCATTAGTTCAAGTGCAGTGAATTTTCCAAGTAAGCAGATTTGGAACCCAATCAGCCCCTCCAAAGTCAATTTCCTAGTCTGGATAAGGGCCCTAAACAAGTGCCTGTCTAGAGAAAATCTAGAAAGAAGAGGAATACAGCTGTCAAATGTTTCTTGTGGTCTTTGTGGGTTGCAGCCTGAGTCTACAAACCATCTGCGCCTCCACTGCCTAGTTTCTGCCCAGGTGTGGGATCACTTTCTAAGTGTTGCGGGGATTTGCTAGGTCATGCCAAATTCTGTCAAAGACTTATTATGTTGCTGGAAGATCAGGGGTTTGAAGAAAGAAAAAGGAAAGCTGGTGTGGAGAACTATCCCTGCTGCTGTCTTTTGGTCCATTTGGACTGAAAGAAATAACAGAATTTTCTGTAATAAATCGAAAAGTTCAGATGAGATAGTGCAGTGTGCAGTCAGTAAACTGTTCTCTTGGGTATCTGTAAGTCCAAAATTCAAGCATATGAATGTACTTCAGTTTCTTAGGACTCGGTCTACTGGTGTTGAGGTCTGTTCTGTCCCTATCTGGACGGGTTTCTGTTGTACCTTCTTTCATCATGAAATTCAAACTAATCTTAGGTTCCATGATATTCCATAACCAGGTCATAATCTGTGCATCTTCTTGCTCCCAATCACTGTACTCCTGAAAATCAACTGAGGGTTTATCTTCTCTCACATGCTTCACCTTCTTCTCAGCTCTGAGAAAAACTTCAACAGATTTATCCCAAGGTACATAATTCTCTCCATTCAGTTTAATAGAGGTCATCTGCACATTCAAGTAATCAGGGGGAATCATAGCAGACTTGTGTTCACTACTGTCTCCCATAGCTGCCATAAACAAATATATATATTTTTTTCTCAGACCAATATGTCACCCTACCTTACTAATGATCACCACACTACACACCTACAGCTGACTATTGCTGAAAAATTTATTGTCACAGGTTTTAGCAATGGTAATCACCACTGTTCTTCACTTTCAATACCACAAAAAAATCACCCACATACACTTCACACGTGATACTAGGTCTGCAGCACATCAGAAATTGCTTCCTATTATAATCTCATGCAATCCATCTATCTGAACCACACAAGTTAGACTCAAACCTGTCAGACCACTAAACTACTGTAAACAGCCCTCTTCGATCCATCGATTAGAGGGTTTTCTACCAACCACCTGAAACCACCACAACACAACCAACCGGAGGCATTAAAACCTCCAGAAGTAAAAAATGACCACTCCTTTTCAGCCTTTTTGTCAAACTCCAAGTGACCGAAGAGAAATCTGCAAAATACTAGATTGGGAGGCGCAGAAAACTGGGCAGATCTGAACTGATTTATAATGGCTCTGATACCATGATAAAGTTCAGATCTGTATATGCTTCAGTTTCAGAATAAAAGAAGAAAAGAGAGAAAGAGGAGAAGAGAGAAGAGGTAGAAGGAAAGACTGGTTCAAACTAGAGAACTCAACTCTCTCTAGTTGAGCCAGATTTATTTATAGTTTTCTAAACAAAAAACAGAATGACTATTTGTGCCCCCACTAGTGTGGGATACATCGCTTAACTTAGAATATAATAGTAATTACATCTAGCACATAACATAAAGTAAAACGACTAGACTACCCTTCTATAGCCGACTCTAACAATTTTTAATAAAATTACCTTACCTTTTCAAAAAAAAATCTGAAAAACCTTGGCTTCTGTATCTTTTTCTTTTCAACATAAAAGAAGAAATTAGAAATATGTACTTGGGGAAGTTATGTAATTTCATGCATAAGGGACTTCTGGTATTATTGTTATTGTTGCTGTTGCTGTTGTGTTGGATTAAGCATGTTCTAGCTCTACAAATCTTCTTCAGGTCATTCATTGGATCAAGAATTTTGTACCTTCCAGGAAATCTTCACATGTATTCAATGATCCTGATATTTACCATGTATAAACTCACTCCTGGTTATCCTCCTTTGAGGTATCCATTCATTTTCTCTAGGCCAACCACCTCTTTCCTATAGAAATTATTTACTCATCCATTCTTCTCCCTGCAATCCATAATTCCATTTTCCCTTTCAACCACTTCTATTCACATTTTCTGATGTTGTTTACCAATGTTGAGTACTGTCCACTGTCTATTTGCATCTCCTTCAAACTGAAGATTAATCAATCTCAAACCGAAAAACCAAATTGGTACAAACTTGTTCTTTCTTTCTTGATTCACTCTACAATTGTGGGCACTAAGGTCCTAACATGGTCTGAATGAGTCCATGTAATGTAAGTCAGCAATTTGTGTATGTAGGTGAAAATTGTCAATTCTAGGAAGACCATTTATCTGTTGGTTCACTTCTTGGAAGGAAACTAGTTAGAAGTTCTTATATTTATTAACAAGATCTTGAAAATCTATTGATTATTCTGCCAATAAAATGAAGACACAACTTAATTAGAATAAAATTAACATGAGAAATCATGCAACTTCTTTTGTTCAGTGATGGAGTTTGACTATGATACCGAAAGGCATGGTATCTTAAAAGCTGACAACCAATCAAACGGTATTATAGAAGTGATAACCAATCAACTGGTATCCAACAAAATTCATGGGGTGTTCTGATTTGTCAAAGTTATTCTGGTAGCATACCCTTCCAGCATCATTCAAATTGTTGTAATTGAGATATATATATTCTACCCGTGCCCCTCAACCTATATATCTAATTATCTAGTAAAATGTATAATAGGTTAAAAATGTAAAAAAAAAAGTTCCTTGCTATTCATCCTCAACCATCCTAGAAAAATATTTATGAACAGTTCATGTTTTTGAACCTTTAATTGTAAGCTGTCTCAAATACATTTTAGCTTTTTACTTGTAAATCTATATTGCCTACATGTAGCTTTTCCAAACACTTTTTGGTTGTTCTCTGTTGACCTTTGACAACTGATTGCTAACTTTTGACTGATGACCATGATTTGTGTCCTTTTCAAAGGCTCAACCATCATCTCTTCTTCCATCTAAATGTAATGTGGTCAAACCTTTTGCAGGCTACCTTAAATAAGGTAATTGATCCCAAAACATTGATCCTACTGGGGAAAACTTGTATTTTTCATGTCTTCAATGTCATACAAAGGGGAACTCTTTTTTTTTTTTTTTATTTTTCCCTTTTTCTCTTCTTTCTCTTTTGTAAGTTTTGCAATCTTCCTTAATTTCTTTAATGTTTTCTTCTTGACTAGCCTTGACCTAATTTAGTTGTACAATCTTCCTTATAATTTAGTTTAATTAATTTACTTAGTATTTTAAATAATAAGAGAATACTTGACTAGCCTTGATCTAGAAAGTTTAGTCCAAAAGGGTAAGGTTTGTTGGATTCTGTAGGTTCAACTGCATAATTTTGAGGGCAATTCTTGTATAATTAGTTGTAAATTGTTTTATACTTTTCCCATTTTATACTTCTATGTTCTTGATTATTTTAAAATTTCGTATTCTTTTATTTGTTTCTAGATTCTTTGAGAAAGATTACATTAGGAATTTATGGAAGATATAATAATTAAAATTCAAATTTGATGTGCCATAAAATGTTCTATTACTTAAATGAAAACTTAATTAACTATCCTCAAATATGGACTTCAATTCAAGGTGCAGTTTGAGTTATACAGTTGTTTCTTTTAAAGTTAAAACATAGATGTGTTTAATAGGTACTTCTTAGTTATATGCATGGGAGGTACTTAAATGACCTCATGATTGATACAAAACCCGAAGCAGAAAATATCAATTAACATGTCCGTTGGACTACATATATCTTATTACTAAATGGTTGGGCTTAAGGCTGAGTTGAGTATTGGGTTGCACAAATCTTATTCTTGTTTGTTCTTTTTCTAGGTCTTGAAATTCAATCTTACGGAGTCTGGACTGTTCTGTGTATTGCCATGGTTAACCATGGCTGTGTTTGCAAATTTAGGAGGTTGGATTGCAGACACTCTTGTGAGCAAAGGTCTTTCAATAACTGCAGTTCGTAAGGTAAGTAATATCCCAGTATTTGATTTTTGGTTATGGAGTAAATATCTGCATATCATCTTCTGTGGTGGATACTTGGATATTCTTTTGCTTAATGCCTGCATTACCTTCATCAATTTTCAACAATATAAAGGAAAAAGAAATTATGGACTACGTAGAATCAGCAATGCAGTTAAATGTGTTTCCTGCTATTGGTTAGCACTGCGGGTTAATATCAGAGAAGATATTTTTATGCTACAGAAGAATTTATATTAAAGCACTTCTTCGAAAAATGCATTCAGATTCTTGTCCTACCTCATGAATGTGTACAAAAACTTGCATATTCCTTTATTTATTTATTTATTTTTGGAGCAGCAACAAACATGGATATCTTTATTACGATAACACGTACTTTTTTCCCCTGAGTATAACTATCCTCCAAAACTTTTTGATACTGCAGATCATGCAATCAATTGGGTTTCTAGGCCCAGCATTCTTTTTGACACAGCTGAGCTATGTCCGGACTCCAGCCATGGCAGTGCTATGCATGGCATGCAGTCAGGTCTGATTACTTTCTAAGCAAATTGAAATTTGATTTTTTTTTAAGTCTTACCTGAAATTATATGTAAATTCTGTGAACATGTGACTTGATATCATTTTTTGTCATTGCTTAGGACAAAATCTACCTGTGAAAAGGATACAACAAATGATGCCAAAAAGCAGGGATTGAAACATGCTTAGTAAGCAGTTTCTGTGAAAACTACAAATTAAAATTTCAACTAGGAAAGGAAAATATATGGTTAAAAATTCAACTGAAATTCAACTCATGTTAAAGTTATACCTAACTATTTGTGACCAGCTGTTAAAAGTCCAACTGAAAGTATCCTAGAGATCGTGACTAAGGAAAAAATCACTTTATAGAAATGAAGTCGTAAAGCACCTGAGCTCAATTTAATTCTAGATGAGCCAAGGCACTTAAATATTTGCTTATGTACATTACCAAAAAAAATGCTAATGCGTTGATAATATTCAACATCCCATAAGTTTGTTTTGACTAGTAAAGATGCATCTGCATTGTATGTAATTATTGTTGCTTCTGCTGCTGTGGCTTTTCTTTGGAATAATCACTTAATGATTATAATTTACTATTACTCAAATCTTGCATAACACTTAGAAGAAAATTCAACTGTTGGGTGTAAACCATCGTTATGTAGGTAAATCAAAATTTGCCACATCAAAAAGAAAAACAATTTCCCTTTTACTTTTTTCTGTTAAACAACAATTAGTGGCTGATAGTCAGTTGCATGTGAGAAGAGTTATTACCTCACATCAATATGCCAGGGTAATAGAAAGAAATATAGTTATTCTGCGTATCAATCTATTAATGTTTTAGAAAACATAAAAGATTTAGAACTAAGTTAGGGCTCTGAATTTGGTTCCTATGAGTTCTACACAAACTGCTTGTATCTGGTGTACTACTGTTGTGTGCAATTTCTCATTATCATTCCTCATAATTATTAAGATATAATCAAAATATAAGTGTTTTATTTCTTTTGAGTCTTGTAGACTCAGAAAAACAAGGGGGAATGACCAAATGGTCTGTATATCCAACTGTGGCCTTGGGTCTGAAGACAACCACCATGCTTCTAGCTTCGCTGTTATATCGCCAGAAGGTATTTGGTCCAAACTAATTGTATTGACCTGAATGCCACCAATTAATATATATGGTGCACATGGCCCATCAAGTCAGAATTCTATTTTGTTTTAGTTTGTCACCCACATCTTCGGTAGGGCATTGTACAAGGTTTATATTGATCTATTGATTTAACCATCCATTCTATTGCTAAAATTTTGACCATTCTGATGGGAAAATGAAGGAAACAATCTAATTAGAGTAAGATTAATACGAGAGTTTTATAGAATTTCTACTTCTAGTTTTTTGTTCAAGTAGAATAAAGTTAGAACTGTAATGCGTACTTGTATCTTGAGTACATCTGATGCAGAACTTAAGGAAAGAAGAAACATGAAGAGAAACAGGTTCAGATCTCTGTGGGGCCCACCAAATGTTACTGGATGGGCATGGACAAAGCTGGTAGGAAATTTCCACTAAAAACTCAAGTATATGATACAATACGACACCCTTGGATGGGTATCCAGGTAAGGTGTCATAGGGGCCCATGAATATCCTATTGGATCAAATTGACCCAGGTCCTAGCGTAGGCTCTAAATAAGATATACATGATCTTGAGGTATTAATAGGGTTGGTAGTTCGAAAGCATATCTGTAATTTTATGCAACCTTAAGATTTGTAGAGATTTTTCGTTTTTGGTTTTCAACTAGGTATTAATCACTTTTAAATGTGTTTTAGAGTGTCTAGGAATTTAGTTTTAAGTTGATGATGTGTCATGTGGGGTCCATAAACTTTTCTTGTACCTTAAGTTGGAAACATCTTTTCTTTAGGGCTATTTTTCACAGTTCATAATTTGTCTGTTTTGCTTGATTTTGATGCCTTGAAAGTTTCTATTTTCTTCGATTTTCATTTGAAATGGTAAAGCAGGCCGGTCAATCCCTCTTTCTAGAGAGTCTATAACTGTAAACTGGCTAGTAGAGAATCTGATTATTAAGGGCATGTTTGGAACATATGCTGTTTTCCCAGATAATGGCACCGTGTTGGTGCCACATAGGAGATTCAGTGGCGGGGAAAACGATGCCTGTTTGGTTAAATGTTTTTTTTTTTTTTTTTGACAAATGTTTTCTCAGAACAAACCTTGGAAATTGGTGTCTGAGAAAATGTCCTTTTTGACGTTTCTCAATTTTATACTGTTGCTAGCAATGGTTTGCTGATGTGGCATTGAAAAATGCCTAGGTGGCAGCAACAGTCCCAAACAAAAAAAAATGCCATTTTCGGAGAACAGCACTAGAGAAATGTCATCAATTCCAAACATTACCTAAGCGAGAATTTAAATTGAATTATTTTGAGGTGTCATCAATTCACTTTTGCCTTTTCTCTTCTATAAAGCTATGATATCTTCTTCCGATCTCTTTCTCTTCTATATTTCAGATCTTACGAAAGCCTTCTATTTTTCCTTTATCCCGTCTTAGATCTAATGTTACTCTTCTTTCAACCATGCAAAGATCCTAGGACTTTTACCTTGTCATCCTATACATCAGTTTGACATCAGAGTTGTTGCTCCTAGATCGAAGTCCCATTAAGTTTTGTATGTAATAACACAAAATCAAGGTTTTGGTGGCCTTTAAAAAAGAGAATGTAATGCATAAAATATCCATGTCTAGATACATGAAAGCAACATTGCATGGACATTTCGTTGCTTGAAACCATAAGATTTTTAAGGTTGATTATTTTTGCAGTCTCATTAGAAAATTTTCACCTTTTTTAACTGGATCATGAATTTCTTGCTACACCCCCTTTTTTGCAGCGGTCACTGGCATTGTTATTCTAAAATTTTAGATTTGAAAGTTTTGTTGGAAGTGTGGAAAGAGAAATATTCAATCATATTTCTCTCTGTGGTGTTCTATATATCATTTAATCGTGGTTGCTCCAATTGACTATGCTATAGAAGTTTGCTTTCTTTACCGGAAATTTGTAACATAATTTGGTTATACATGTTTTTCATTTTTGGACAGGGATCGGATGCATTCTCACAATCTGGTTTGTACTCCAATCACCAAGACATTGGACCGCGTTATGCGGTAAGTTGCTTCATCCAGTGTAGTCAAAATCTTCGTTTTATGATATGATTCACAATTTGAAGCCTGAATCTCAAGGGTTTTGATTTGAACTAATGTCTAAATCCTTTTCTGCAAAGTAGTTCTAGTTTGTACAATTTGTTTATTTCTCTCCTTTATTCATGAGAGGAATGGAACTGACGTCAATGTTTGCCTGTGAACAAAGGGAGTATTGCTGGGTCTATCGAACACTGCTGGAGTGCTTGCCGGTGTCTTTGGTACAGCCGCAACTGGCTATATTCTCCAACGGGGTATGTGGTTAATGTTGAAGTCCATAAAGCAATACACCCAAACATTTTAATCTGGTCAATGTTGATGTTTCAAGCTTTCTAACTTTTAATCTTTCAGGGTCGTGGGATGATGTCTTTAAGGTGGCTGTTGCCTTGTACATCATTGGCACTTTGATCTGGAACTTATTTGCTACAGGGGAAAAAATTCTTGACTAGAAATAGAAGATAAAAGAAACTCAATAAAGAAATATTAAACCTATGGCTAATAATCAAGAATCAGAGTTTCTAAACAAAGGAGATACAGAGGAAGACATCTTTCAAATTCGAGGTGACGAAGGGAAGAGAGTAAAACAAGAACGTCGACATCTGGGACTCGCTTGAAGTTTGAAGCCAATACTCTCCACCGAATGGGGGGTTGTGGTTTGCCTTGGAAACCATCTTCTTCATTGGAGTTAATAAAGTTTACCTTGTTCTTAATTTATATGTTTTTGTTAGGTAATTTTGGGCAATTAAGCCCATAAATCACTTCGTCTTAATTTTAGAATGTAATCTAAAAAACCACATTTTTTTTATTCGGTAAATAATCTAAGAAAACCACATATTTACTTCCCAAATCTCTGTATTTAATTGTAGTTATTTCCCTTGGTTTTTGTCTTACCGCAAATTTCTCAAAGTTTATTCGTTGGTCACGTGCATATATCATCTTGTCGGATCCTCAGCTTTGAGTCCATGGCCCAGATTGCTCCATTTTATAATGGACTTGAGATGGTCTATTGACTTACGATTTAGGGTCGTTTGGGAATTCTCTTTGGGAAGATCTAATGATAGCTTCAAAATAGTTTTTTCGCATCTTTTTGGTGCATCAATTTCTGGTGGCTAGATCTGTATGAATTAAAATGTAAAAATATCATAGTGCGGTTTGCCCAGTTTGTAAATAGTCCAAAAGATCACGCGGAAAGATGTGCCAAATGGTCTATATGGGTTAGGGCTTGACATCTCCGGCTTATTCTTGAGTTGACCAGCTTACGATCTGACAGTAGGTGAAGGGTTGCAATTTGCAAACCAGGCTGGGTTTGTTCGGCTTGAGGTCAACCCTAAAGTCTTGAAACCCCACCCCCCACACCCTCCAACCCTAATTCTGCCCAATCTGACCTAGTCGAGCTTAACCCTAGTCCCTAACTCTAACTAAAATCCCTCAACTCTAACACAACCCAACTGTTGGGCCCAACCCGGCCTCCCTCCCACCCTATTAAAATAAAAATTTAAAATTAATTGAAAAGTTTAAATCATAAAATTCCTAAAGTTTCATTTTTTCTTTACAAAGCGCATGACTAATGATTCTAGAAATCGTACAAATAAATGAAATAATAAAAAAATTAAAATTGTGCAAATCCATATCTCTGTGTTAAAATGGAATGTGTCAAGTTAAACTTTCCTGCTTTATGGTTTATTCTCAAAGTTGCTTATCTTTTTTTTTTTGGTTTCTTCTCAAAAACATTTATCTTTTATTTTTCTGGCTTTTTTGAATTTTTTAATCTCTCTCTCTCATGCCATTAACTCTGTCCTTCAATGACTAATGCCACTATTCTCTCATCTCCATTACTGCATTAAATTTTACAAAATTCATTAATTTTATCTATATTTATATTTACATTAAATTGTAATTATTAGTAAAGATGAATTATATTGAAATTAAGATATTCAATAATATATTATTATGCCAAATAATCTACTTCCATTTAAAATTATAATCCACTTATATTCCATTTGAAAATAATAAAAAATAATTAGCCATAATAAAAATAATTATTAATTGTCGTTATTGATAAAAATATTTTTGTTAATATAATAAAAATAATTTAATTAATAAAAGGAATAAGATAAATTAAAAACTAATATCCATTTAAAATTAATATAAAACTAATACAAAATTATCTAACAATTATTTGTTTTATAATTAATTTTTACTAATTTAAAACCAACTTAAGTTATACTAAAAATAAAAACTTAATATAGTTAATTGGATTTCATAAGGAATTTAAGTTTGATAAAAACTTAATTAAATTTTATCTTTACTAATTTTAAAAATAATATAAAATATCAATTTTAAATATAGTTTAATTATTTTAAAATCAATTTAAATTCTATTTAAAAATAAGGAAATTTGTAAAAACCTCCTTGGGTTTTCTAACAATCCTATCAAACTTCCTAGTGTTTTGGCCTTAACAAAAACTTCCCCTATTGTTTTGAAAAAAGGTGCAAATACCTTCCTTTCATTATCATTCCAAATAAAAAATGTTGATGTCATACATTAATTTCACTTCCCTTCAGCCTTTTTGCCTTACTTTATGCAAGAAGAAGAGGAGAATTATTCTTTGAAAGTTGTCTCACAAAATAAATTAGTGGAGGGTAAAATTGAAACTTTAAATTGTGTATGATAATGTATTAACAATGATAAGGGTATTTTGGTAACTTCAATGTCTTTGTTACTGAAAAGCCAAGTAAAAGGAGGTATTTGCACTTTTTTTTTCAAAACTATAGGGGGAGGCCATTGTTAGGGCCAAAGCACAAAGGTGGTTTATAGAATTGTTATTCAGATGTTTTATATAATTTTACTTAAAAATAATAATAAAACCAATAAAAATTAATAAAGAAATCCTTTTCAAAAAAATTAATAAAAATTAGCATTAAGATACAAAATAAAGTACAAATTTATCTAGAGAATTAGAAATTGACCACTCCCACTAGAGTTCAACTTAGATTGTAATTGGATAAACTAGATATAACCTAAAAAATAATACTTAAATTGAACTTAGATGGACACCACTTAATTGGAAATGTCATAGAGCTCCATCCTCAATTTTGCTTATAAATAAAGCTCATGCGCGGGTCCTGACTAGTAATTCTAAAAACCAAAGTCCATTCTTTTGGTCCTAATATTTTTCCAGATTCCATAACACAACTCTACTGAATTTAACCAATGATTAAATGGTGATGAGAAACAAGGTGTAGGCTTGTAGCCCCATTTATTAAACAACTTAGAAGCAAATCTCTACCAAAACATTTCAGTTGGCCAATTGGCCTTAAAACCATGGTTTTCGAACCGCCGTTGACCTAGACGGTCGGACCATTCGGCTCGGGAATCGTCTAGGCAACCAGTCCCGTTTTACCCTAAACCCGGTCCTTGGCCAAAAATCGTTGAATCGGTCAATGACCCATTGACTTGGGCGGTCAAATTGTTGACCCGTCAATCCGTTCAACTGTTTTGGCCATTTTTTATTTTTAATTATTTTTTTAATTTTTGTTGTCATAACGGATTGTCCATTTGAACCGAACGGTCGAACCATTGACACGAAAACTAGTGGCCAGAACGGTTCCATTTCCAGGTCATTTTTTAAAACCATGCTTAAAGCTTGCATAGTTGTTGATCAAAGAAAAAGACAAATGAAAACTCAACTTACTCGAGACATGAGAATTGGGTATTTCACTTGGCGGCAACTGAACTGTTGAACCAACAACTCCAATGGCTCAACTTGGGCAATTCAAACTTCAAAGCATGGTTTTAAAAAATGACCCGGAAACGGAACCATTCTGGCCACCAGTTTTCAGGTCGACGGTTTGATTGTCCGATTCGAATGGATGGTCCATTTTGACAACAAAAATTAAAAAAAATAAAAAATAATTAAAAATAAAACGATCAAAACCATTGAACGGATTGATGGATTGATGGTTTGACCACCCGGGCCAATGTGTCATTAACTAATTTAACGGTTTTTGGCCAAGAATCGGGTTTGGAATAAAATGGAACTAGTTGCCTAGATGATTCCTGGGCCGAACAGTCCAACCGTCCAAGTCAACGGTAGTTCAAAAACCATGCTTCAAAGTTAGGATGGGTGGTAGTACCTAATACGATGGGTGGTGGCATGGCTTCAATTGGCAAATGGGTGGCGGCAACTAGTAAAAGTAACTGAGTAAAAGCAAAGGTGTGTATAAGTATGGTGAAGAATACTCACAATCACAGTCGATGAGGCGGTGAATCGAACAAAGAAGAATATAAGGACTAGTAATTTATATAATTATTAGTGTTAGAGAGGTTAGGGTTAAGGGTTTATAAACTTATGCTGTGTATATAAGGATTAATACTTTGTAACATAGATCTATATATGATAAATATGTACATATATATAGGAATGGCAATGGGGCGGGAACCATATTCTCATCCCCAACCCTGATTTTGCAACAAATCACTGTCCCTGATTTTGATCCCCACTAAGGATAAACATAAAAGTTATCCTCCCTCCTTGGTCCTATGTGTTCCTCATGGGAATGGGTCGGGGCAGAGTGTGGACTTCACTCCCCATCCCCATCCCATTCCGATTGGAGATCCCTATTAATCTCCGTCCATGGCCCCTTCGGGTTGGGGAGGTTGGGTACTCAATGGGGATGGGGAAATTTTCATCTCTATACATGTAATAGGAGGTTCAGGTTTGATTGGGTTGCCTGAGGGATCAATCCTAACCCAACCTGAAGTTAAGTCGGATTGGCACTTTTCAACCCTAGCTCAAACTCAATCCAACCCAACTCAACTTTTTTGGGCTGGGTTTGGGCTAACCTGGCCCGACTTGCAGCCCTATCTGATAGACATCTACTGAGTTGGAGTGTCAGACCCCTCTTGGATGCGAGATGCCCACATATTTTTCCACCAAGATAATAATCTATTGGCTTCATCAATATTATTATTATTATATCTTGCCTTTTTTTGGTAAGACCGTAAGATTATTATGCCTTGCCTAAAAACTAGACCTTTCCACTAGCCGGGCCAGGTTTAGGTTAGACTTTGCTTCTTTGTTAACAGAAAATGTCCAGGCCTAAGCTAGACCCTGATCCTACCATTAGGCATTTAGGCCTGAGTCATGAGCCTGAGCCCATACCTTATATAAAGCCTAAAGCCCCAGACTGGATATAAAAAGTCCTACTTAAGTGTAATTTAATAAATTAATATTATATTAATTTGATAATAATTTAATAATTTAATATATTATATATATTTATTATATATTATTAATATATTTTTATTATTTAATATTATCAGACTATGCTTAGAATTGGGCCAAACTTATTTGAGAAAGCATGAGCCTAGCCCAAACAATAGTTAGGCCTTTGGTGGCATGGTGCTTAGAACCCAAGGCCCAGGCTTGTACTCTGTAGGTCTAAAATTTTCTCAGAGGTTGGGCCCAAGTCCAAGCCCAATAAAGAATGGGCTGGGCTGGGCCAGCCCGTCCAACTACCTGGCTTTAAGACTGGTTGATGAGAAGTTGAGAACTGCACAGATGAACAGGTCTACGATTTTTATAAGGGAAAATTCCCGATTAGTACTTTGTACTTTGAGCTTAGTGCCACTTTGGTTCCTGAACTTTAATATATGGCAATTCAATACTCAAACATTCAAAATGTGTCAATCTAGTACCTACCGTTAACCAGCTGTTAAGTGGCATTTGAAAATACACAAATGCCCTTTGAGTGTCATCTAATTCTCTTTATCAACCATCCAAACATTGACAAAAAATGAACAATCCCAAATCCTTGCCTCTTCTATTTAAGAAAGT